AAACTTCTATTCTGCAGAACTTGTAGTTTACGCATATGTAACTTAGTCGAGAAGCTCCAAGCCGCACATGCGTGGGTTATTCCAGACATAATGGTTTTGCATATCCTAATCTTATTGACCAAACTCAATTTTGAGGTTCGGTTCTACATAAAAGATGATACAGTTGCCGATGTAAGTTGGAATTTAATTTTCAGTTGTTAAATGTGTGCCTGCCAAGTCATACCCTTGTGTAATGTGAAATCTAAATATTTGGCCGTGTTAGCCCATGGTATCGAAACGTCATCCACAGTAATCTCTTTCGGGTACTACGGCGCTTTTTGGTAAAATAGAGAGCCTAATTTTGATTAGTCACCGATTCGCCCACTCTGAAACCTCGTCCACTGCTTCCTGTAGCCTGCCGTGGACTGATATAGAACATGACTGGGCTAGTAATGCCGTGTCGTCGGCATAGAGATGGACTTTACAGTTGCTGGGATGGGGGACGTTATTAATCAAAATCGAGAACTCCGATCCTTCTAGGAAGGACTCGAGTAGATTAATTTATTAAATCTAATAACCTAGCCCTAAAGGGAAAACCGGTGTGAATAAAATTATAAAGGAGAAAGGAGACCTGCGTGCCACACCTTGTCAAAGGTTTTCGCGATATCCAGAAAAAACATTCCATAAACTTCCGAATGTCATGATTTTGAGTTGGGAAATATGCGTAATTACTTTTGTTGGACTCTTCAGCTTGGTCAATAAGTATAGTTCTTCACGGTTCTTAATTTTTCTAGTTCAGCGGCAATTCAAGGAGCTCCGCAGGGTTATTACGTAAAAAACCTATACAATATCAACAAAACTGATAAAATGTCAACTTGTTGACTAGATAGTTGCTATTGCGGAAATATTTCATTCCACACCCGCTACAAGTGAGAATGAAGTCAGCGACAGCTAATTCAAAGTTGACATCTTGTAGGAAAATCTACATAATGTCATAAAAAACCTACATACCGTCAAAAAAAAACCGACATACCTTTTCAAGTTACGTAATACCACTACCGAGGGCAGACAAGATACACATATATTCCAGTGGGAATGAAACCGGGGCAATTCACAGCGATCCAGGGCAATCCCAAGGACGACTAAGGTTGTACTCTGAATCTGCACAGACGGTTTTGTTGCAATTATAGTCGTATTTTGCTAATTCTACTGATTTTACTTCCTACTGCACTGGCGAGAAAGTGCTAGTAGTGTTTTTCGAGAGCTGGTTGGGACGATTATTTTACTTCCCATGCCAACTGGCTAGGAAGTATTATAATCGTGTAAAATTTCAAAAATAAGATGTCACGTTTGTCAATTTTGATGAAATTCCAACACAAGGTTACTACTATGCCAACGTCAAAACAGATTTGTAGTTTTTGAAAATCGATCCAGTGCAGCGGACCTATAAAGGTCAACGGAAAAAGCAAATATCGCTAAAACTTCTCTACAGCTTAAAATGTGCCGCTTGGATTTTGATGAAATTTCAACACAAGGTTGACACTATGCCAAGGACAAAACAGCTTTGTAGTTTTTGGAAATGGATCCAGTGCAGCGGAGCTATGGGGAAAAACAAAAAAAGCAAAAATCGCTGAAACTGTCTTTGGGCATTACAGAAAGTCCTTTTTTATACCGAATCATCCGTTCAGGCAGAAGCCTACATCCCATGGCACCGCGGCTGCTATGAGGATCCCAAAGAAATTTGTTAATCCGATTTTTGAAGTGCGTAAGGTTGGTAGTAGGACAAAGGAGCGGTCGTATCGGCCAGTTATGGATGTACGTTGTTCGACATGGTTAGGATGGGAGGTCGAATTGAGGCGAGTCTGTTTGGCAGGATCATCGCAAGGCGGCATCATGGAGTACCAAAACCCATCGGTGTAGCGATATCAGAGAGCTAGACCGCCGACGGCCCGTCGGTGCGAAAGGGTTCCGAGACTCTCCGTTAGAGAAGAGTCATCAACCAGTTGAACAGCTCACCTCTGAACAGCATCGAGCATGGGCAATGTAGTTGGGGCGGCAGCACCCCAGACATGTGAGCAGTACTCGAGTCTAGGTCTTATCTGGGCCTTGCACAGAGTGAGGAGGTCGTGTCGAGAAAAGTACTTCTTAGCCCTAAACAAGTAGCCTAGTTTTTTCACAGCAGCTAACTCTATTGACGAGATGTCAATTAAGTCCTCGGTGATCTGGATTCCGGCTGGCCTGCTTATTTTTAAAATTCTTTTAAGAGCATGGCATAACACTGCTTCAAATTCTGCAAATTTGCTCAAGGAGATTTAAGGTGAGTAAGGAAACTGACGGTGATCCAAGGCTTCTAAGGAGATTCCATCATCTTCAAACATTCAAAGTTATCTGAATGGAGCAGACTTTGCGTTCCAATAAAAGTATCAGTGGGTATCCCCTCGCCCTAGCTTTTGATTTGGTTTAAATAAGAAGCAGAAGCATGGTGGGTAAGTACGAAGATGGTACAAAGAAAATTCGAAATTTCACCAGTATGAACTTTTTTCCATGATTGCCAAAACTGTTGCCAGGTGTTAGCATCATTACATATAAATAATTCCTAATTCCACAGAAGGTACTCTTCATTACTAAACAACCATTTTTTTTAATTTAATGACTACACAATCGTCTGTAAATCAAAAACCGATAAATCTACGAGTGCTAGAGATAGTCTAATTCAACCGTTTAAAATACATATTATTTGGGAGTGCATTATTATTCTGTTTTGCTTGTAGAAACTGAATACAGATAACCCCTCGTATCTGTAATACCAGAGCATTAAATCTGACAGGAAATTCCAACGGGGTGATGAAGGATTCTATACATACGCCGACATAGTTAGGGAGAGTCTGAGCGGACTCATCAGCCTTGCGGGGGGTAGTTTCCGGACATTGTTTAGACGAAATCCCTTACGGAAAAGCGAGCATAGGGTTAAATACCGGTTTTCAGAAATGTTCTCGTGGAGATTTTGTAGCGAGGATAAGTGTGTTTTACAAGCTTTTGTGGGACATTGTGGGGATATCATGACAAATTCTATCAAAGCTGTTGTAGAAATTTAGACACGACGTTTGCAGTTGATACAGTGACGTTAGCTGGCGTTGATATCAAATGGCTACAAGACTATATGAGAACAAGGTAGTTATATTAGGCCTTGCGTTTGGTAACAATAAATTAAATTGCCAGTATTTACTGATGCATCTGTCAGTATCAGTGGAAATGTACGTAACCTGATCAATACTAACTTATCGAAGTCCAGACTCCATGTTCAATAAATATCACATTTCAGTATAAATGCAGACGAATCACAGTAAATATCGATAGTATTTATTACATTCGCTTAAAATTTGTATAAGTTCAACCCATTTAAACATATTTGCGAAGTTGGATGAAATCGACCGTTTTCCTCTCGAGGTAGTCATTATTTCATCAAAAACAAGCTTATAGAAATTTTTAAAAACTATTAAAAGATGTACGTTTTCAACACTTTTGTATGGTGTGGAAGAATGGGTACTAACGGAAGCATCCCTTAAGAAACTTGGTGGTTTTCTTTTAAAATGTGGACGTACAGGCGTATGTTTCGGATTAGTTGACAAACGAGTTCGCAAAATGAGGCCATACGTCGAATGGGAAAGGACAGAGAAATTGTACGAACCATTGAATTCCGAAAATTATAGTAGTTTGCACATGTAATTTATAATCAACTGCACATTATTATCCAGGGAATACAAGGAAAACGTGGTCCCGGAAGAAGTTCACTCTAAAGGGCTTCGGCGAACAGAATAATGATAGCCAATATGATCGTCAACGTCCCATAACAGATAAAGCATTTTAAGAAAATGAAGGCATTAATACCTAACCTCGAAACATGAACAAAATATTCCGGCTCGTTATTGAAATATTTGGCTTGAAATGGTAATCTTCTACATATTTAGTTTTTGAAACAATCATTAAGAACCAATAAACCCATAATTTCCATCATTTGCAAGCGTTCAGTAAGGAAATTAAGAATGCTCAGCCATACAGTTACAATGCTGACCCTATAGTTATATAGCGAGATCCCCTCGTATATCTTCCTAATCCGTGTACTTATATCTTATCTTAGTAAACAACCCTATGTTATATATATGCCCTTCAGGCATCAGTTTAATCCTATTACTCTTCAACTGAACTCACTTAGGTTAGGTTTGCTAACATATCGTTGTTAGTCGAAACATTGTATTTATATTAGAATAAAGTATAAAATCGCTTGTAAGTCGTTTTTTAAAAACGCGATTCCGCGACGCGATACCATCATTGGCGCAGCTAGCAGGTGGATCAGAAAGACTGGACCAGAACTCAGCAGAGGACTTCCAGGCTGATTTCAATCAATCACTTCTGGAACCGACGAGACCAGGAAGATCAGGAGAAGCCCAAGGACGAAGATCGACGCCAGAGTGCTGTGTCTTCAAAGTCTGAAGGTAATTCAAGTCGATTTTTCCTTGTCTCTCCTCTCACCTTTTTTTTTTAATTTTAGGTTTTTTGGTGCAGTTTTGTAAAATTTAATATTGCTGAAGATTGCTCAAAACATCTAGTATTAAGTTAGTTCTCGTTCAAGAGCTACATTTTTTAAGAGAACTTAATTTTAGTAAATTTGTCGAGAGCTACATTTTCGATTTAGATTACTTAGTTACTATTTTTTTAAATTTTTGCCTGATGCAAAATTATTAATTTTAAGGAAATTTTCACATTAAAATAAGGCTTAGGTAGAATCTCATTAAATTTTATTACATTCGTATTCACTTGGTATTCTCACATTTTTCATACTTTTACATTTTTAATTTTTACACATTTTTTACATTTTTATACATTCGACATTTTACATTTTCACATTATATTTTTCATTTTCTTACAAATCTTAAAAGTCTCTCAACTTTAATTTTCTCATACGGCCAGACCATAAGTTTATGCAAGATTCTAATTCGACTATTACAAATTTATTAGAAAACATGTCTCTCAATAACGCAGTGTCCGTTCCAAGTGTACAGGCTGCAAAAGCTATTGCAGATTTTCTGCCATATTTCGATGGTGATAACCAACAACTAGAATCATTCATCTTTAGATGCGTAAAATTTTATAATACTTATGATAGATCAAACGATGCCAGTTTGAACGATTTCGTCTTTAATGTGATTTGTTCCAAACTAAAAAGTAACGTTTACAACTTTTTAATCAGTAGACCAGATCTCATTTCTTGGCCTCTAACTAAAAATGCACTCAGAGAGCATTTCGGTGACAAAATTGACAGACAAACCCTTACGAGAGAATTTCTGCAATTTTCAAAATATAGAAATGAAACTATTTTGGAATTTTTAGGAAGATTAAAATTAATTAAATCAAGAGTTGAAGTTAAAATCCAGACAGATCCTTCACTCACCCCTGATCAGAAAGTTTTACTTATCAGCCAAAACGAATTAAATGCACTAGACGCAAATTGTGACGATAGACTTAGACTTTTGTGAGACATTCAACAGCCCTCCGACTTATCAGATGCGACCAACGTAGTTACTAAACGTTTCTACAATGAGATGAGAATAGAGGCACTGACAAAAAGACAGAATTTCGGACATCCTAGCCACTTTCAATCACATTCACACAAACCTAGACGTTACAATTATAATAACTCATCACGCCAAAATTATTACCCATCTCAAAGACACAACCCTTCATACACTCAACCTAATATCACACATATTAATTATCAACAACCACCAGCCATACATGAACAATTTCCTTCCCAGGAGTTTCACGCTCAATATTCACCACAAAATCATTTTACTCAGACACATCAACCTTCCTTCAATGAAAGTAGACAATTTCCATCTCAACCTATTCCATTACCAAAACCCCTTCCAGTTAAACAAAACTTCCCGACAAACAGACAGGTATTCGGACCACCTCAGTCCCAACGCTCAACAAATGTTTTTCGCCCCAAAAACTCATATAAACTAGCACCATTAATCTCGAACCTCTTTCATTATTTTAGTGTTTTTCAATTTAATTATACCCTAATCCCAAAATCCCAATACCTTCTTTTCGACTTGAAAAACCACTGGAACACAGTCCACTTTTGCACAGAAGTCGCAAATAAATACTTCTGTAAACACGAAGACTTATTAGAAGCAGATCCATGCCTAGTAGAAATTATCAAAAATGGAAGAAATACTTGTCCCATAACAAGAATACAGCAATCAAGAACTCTGCTACAGCAGATATCTTCATCTAAAGTAATCATAAGTCCAAGAGAGGCCACTACAGTGCATTCGTCATGTCCAGAAGACGGCCTGATAGTTATTTCTCAACCAAGTCTCATAGAACTCTTAGAGCTTAGAAATCAATCAACACAAGTTCTATCCCTCAGATCGCATCGACCATGAAACAATTTTCCCGTTACCAGCTATAAGCCTGACCAATTTCACGAAGCAGAACCTTGTTGATGTAACAAGATTCAACAATCCAGAATCTTCAAATATCCCAAGAACAAATCAACGAAGACCCAGTTCCCAGATTGTCCCATAGAGAAGACAAATCTAATCATATTTTTACTTCTTCTATCAACTTTCATTGGCTACATCATTTACCAAATTTTAAAGAAGCTAGGAGAAGCAAGAAGACGTAGAGAAGAAGAAGCAGTTCCGGATTCGCAAACTTTGTATCCCCCGTTTGCTCATCTTCGGCAGGTAGGAGTTATATAGCGAGAGCCCCTCGTATATCTTCCTAATCGGTGTACTTATATCTTATCTCAGTAAACAACCCTATGTTATATATTGATGGTTGTGCCCTTCAGGCATCAGTTTAATCCTATTACTCTTCAATTGAACTCACTTAGGTTAGGTTTGCTAACATATCGTTGTTAGTCGAAACATTGTATTTATATTAGAATAGTATCAAATCGCTTGTAAGTCGTTTTTTAAAAACGCGATTCCGCGACGCGATACCATCATTCTATCGTAACTGCTAGCGATATTGTGTGGTTTTGCAGCCGACAGTAGGGGAAGAATTTTTCTCTCGACACCATGTTGAATCTTGGCGTAGGTTCTTTGAACATAGTGCTCATTTGTCAGTCTGACGCTGCTTGAATAAAGCGAAATGATTCTGTGTATTTTCTAATATTTCATCCTGATTAATTATACAAATACTGTGCGAGTACTGCTCGATCATATGTAACATAGATTGTAAAGAAAGTAAAAATCAAACATCAGAAACCTTAGTGGTTTAGAACGAAAATAGAAAGTAAATGAAATGATAAATGCTAATCTAAACAGTAAAGTAAAAATATAAATATAATTTACATATAATGTCCATCCCATAAATGAACCATCGAAAGCCAAGTTGGAATTACGTAATTCAAGCCAAGGCCGTTGGCGCCTGGAAAGTCAACAGCCTAATAAATTTTCCACTTGAGCTCTGAATACTATAACCAGTATACACAAAACATTATGTGAGGAAGAAAGCCCGAAAGCAGAAAGGGCTATCAGATTAGAACCGAATGTATCATATTCTGGTCATTGTTAGTACAATCACTTTAGACATTTCACAATTACATTATTTTATCCAGTAGAAAAGATTCAGATGATGACCGATTTGAGGAATCCATTTGGGTCAGTCAAACTGCACAGGTACGAACCTTTCAACCTTTGTTCCTAAAGCATCTAAAATGTGTAATAGTCCATCGGAAGTGACTTTCCTCAGTTTCTTAACCTTAGGCAATGGAGAAGTTTCGTGATATTCAGAATCGCATACGTAATGACGTACCAGCAACATATAGACTGAATATAATCAGCCAGTGAAAAAATTATTGAAATCGGCAAATAAATTACAGAGAAATTGATACTTAAATTTGGCGCATTATAGCGCGAAATCATAGCTGCCGTACGTTCGTGTCTGACGTCACACTTCTCTAGTGCCCAGCGTCTAGTCGCGTAGGTGTTCGACAGCGTCTTTGCGTTTATCGTCTATAAACAATTCATAAGGCACACCTGTGTGCTCGGACACGTGGGTTCCAGTTGATAACTATTGAGTACTGCGTAAGTCATACCATTATGGACGCCGCATGTGAAGGTAAGTAGAAAAAATGTTTATTAGGAGTTGTAATTGTTGTGCTCGTACATTTTCGAACGGTACAGTATTTATAACAACCTTTTTTTCTTATTTCGCTCATAACCGATCGTATATGCAGTTAACTAATTAAACAAATTGGGGCGGAAGACGTTTAGCCTACCATGTGTCCCGCTGTATGTGTGCCTATGCATGTATTTAGTAGATTGGATCGGCTCGGGCCCAGGAATTGGAAGGGGGCGTTGCAACTGAATTCTGAAGTTTGAAGTGTGACGCCACACGTAACGCACAGACGGAATTGAAATATTCTCGCGGGGCGCAACTTTGATGGGCTGTAACTTTTTTGTTTTTAGAGATAAATTAATAATTTTTTCACCATCTTGTTTCATTTTTCCTAAGCTTTCATAGCTCATAACAAAAAATGGTAAACTTGTCCATTCGAATATCGGAATAACAAGATGTATTTCAACTTCTTTACAGCAGCTGCCGTATCTCTGTATTTAACAATGCATGCAACAATGTTAATGGTTAAATATTTTGTCGAAAAACAAGTTCAATGCAAAAATAATTCGAATAGATATGTCTACATTACATTGTTTGTCTCAAAAATTACGTAGTTTTAGTGCATACTTTTGACTCACTTGACTACCAATGTCTACCAAAGTGCCGGCGTTGTATCGACATAATAATAATACTTATCGTTGGAAACATCTACCTTCATTAGGCTCGTTACAAATTATCCATTACTATCTGCTATTACTTGAATTTTTTAAAAATACATTAAAAATATGAATTTAATGACAACTTTCAACGAAATGACTTATGTAAAGTGCACTTTGATCTTCACTACATCCTCGCTCTGGCCCTAGTCTCTCTTCAACTCAAATCAAATGTCTTATGCGCTATTGTCTAAATAGGCCATTATCGTTAATACTTATTCATCACTGCCAGCGGTATCGATACCACAATGTGAAACGCTGAAATTTTTGTGACCTTGATATTTTGTTTCCAAGTTCACCGCACTAATGAACGAGCTTAATTAATTTTTTTTTGGGGGCGTCGACTCTTTTAATTCGATGAGTAAACGACCTTATTTCGGACAAAAAATCTTAACAAACCATGTTATTCATGTTGGATTTATTTAAATTCAAGGTACACAATATAATTTATTAGGTCTTCAGTTTTTGTACTATAGGAACCACTGCCCAAGTTTTTACCAAGTTTGGAAACCAATGTCATTTGAAACAATACATGTTTCGGGTGTTTTCGACACGTCCCCAATATTTCGTACGACGATTCCTTAGATATTTTTGGGATAAATGATTTTGCCCATTGAGTCGTCTCGGACTAGAATCGTATCCAGCATAACTGATAACATGAACGCCTAAAAATCTAATTTTAGTGTGGCTAATTGCTATAATTTTCGATGGAAATTGAGAAAAAGAACCACCAAAAATTGACCATTCTTCCATTCATTCCACCTCCATGATCTGTCTGTCTGTGAAATGATGTCGTTCAACCGTGTTTATGGTTTATACCACAACCACACACACATAAAGAACATTAACACTGTACAGCAAAATTACGTCATGACACGATCTTACAATAGGCTACTTAACTTATATCTAATTTCATAGAATGCATACTCATGCAAGAAATACTCATTTCTTATAATATTTGGCTTAGGGAAACGAAATATATGGATTTCAATTTTCAAAAGCCCAAGATGGATGGATATTATGTCCAATTTAAAAAAAATATATTTTGACTTTTTAATACGAAACGGTGAAAACATTATCGGCCATGATGTAAGGTCATATAAATTTTAAACAAAGAAACCGTTATATCACTCGTGAATTAACGTTATCTTCTTTGGATAATTCTAAAAAATTCTAATCAACGTGAAAAGTTATGTTTTCTCTTTTTATTAAAAGAACAATCATGGGCGTCGTAAAAGCAGAAATCGCTAATTCTCCAAAAATTAACACGGTGATGGTTGGTAATTTTTGTGGCCTCCAAATCAGATTTCTGTTCTGCTGAGCTGAGGAACATCAAGAAAGAATAATCGATACACTTACATAATCTTCATTTTCAGAAGTTAATCAAAATTAAGCTCATCCGCAATCACCTCTCAATAGTTTTATCTAATAATTTATTTATTGTATGTGTTTGAGAGGTTATGCTGCTATCAGCTGCTGTTTACAGATGCACATTAAGAAAAATATATTTTCAAATTAAAATTTGACTGCCTTTTAGGTCTGGAAAAATACAGTAGTAATCTTTTGGTCTAATAGGATAAATATTAACTATTAAAAACCCACTTCAAAAAGCGTTATCTAGCCTATTACCTACGATACAGTATAGTAGACCGCAAAAAAAAGAGACCCACAATTCAACATGACATGCAAAGTGTTACTAATTTCTTTTATTTTGTTGTTTTAAATTTTATCAGACTTACTTGGTGAAACTGAATTTATTCTTACTTACTTTTTTTCTCTAAACCCTGAACTAAACCCAACTTTTGTATTCTTTTGATAATTATCGAATTTTCTATTACAATATTAGTGATACTGGGTTATTTTTATCTTCGCTTATGTGAAGAGAGTGACGATACGACCATAGCCTCGACCTCACACGACAACACAAAACGAGAAGAATTCCCACAAAAATTCCAATGTCACAAATTAAAAGTAATTCCAGTAATCGCTTTTTTGACTAATCACGTAGGTCGATTTTTTATCAGTGTGACAAACTCCGACTTAGCTACGAGCTGCTCAACTAAAAGTTTGACATGTGGTTGACAAACAGGATCCGACCTTACAACAACTTTACCTGAGACTATATTAAACTATTCGTGACTATAACATTTGACTAAGCATTAAAAACGGCTCTTAGTGAAGGTTAAGTGCCAAATTGTAAGAAGCCCATGGCCGGCGACACGTTTTTCGATCATGAGAACCAATGAATGCATTTTCAGGCGTACACCATTACCATTGACAGAAAAAAATACGAAAAGCGCCAAGCTAAAAAGTCGCACACATACATCGTATGTCGCTTTCGAGTACGTGCTGAAACTCGTGGAACGTCCGGTAGGCGAAAATTACAACAACAGCGCGATTAAAACGATCACAAAAAAAGTCAAAACAAAAACACCTATAGTGATCAATTACAGCAAAGGCGTGTACTCCGTATCGAGCTATTGAGCTCAAAAAAAATGGCTAATCACTCACGTTATAACATAAAGGCGCTTAACTCTAACCTTGAAACTGTATCCCGGTTCAAATCAATTTTCAATAGAACCACTATTTTGGTTATATGCAAAAACATCTTCAAAGTAGAGATTTGCTTACCCATAGATCACAGTACAATATAGCTGAACTCTTCTAACCGTACCTGTAAAAAAACAATTATTAGTAATAAGAAAGTTATCATTGAATTTATAACGATAAGCGATAACATCTCTATGATTACAGAATTTGTTAATATCCCAATTTACCTAGACCACGACCTAAATGATTCAGTTAAAACGATTGTGAATGTGAAGGCTTTAGCAAACTTAAGCTCGATTTTACCAACTGCAATGAACTGGCTTTATGCTTCTGTCGGTTCAACAGTATCAACATTGTCAAGTATCAAT